CACGTTGGCTCGGTACCTGGATGTTTTTACTGGTCTGACCTAGTCAGCTTCCACTTTAACCACCACAGTTTCCTGCACAGAGAACAGTGCTGAATGCCCTTTCTGGCTCCTCTCTCCTTTCTTTCCATCCAAACTCCAGTAACACAGGAAGTTTGTTGCTTCCCGCAGACAGCAATATCTATCGTAATTATTGGTAATGAATCATTGTTCATATTTGGCTGGGAAAAATTCATTCGTTGCAGAAGTATACTGCCTTTGTGTGCATTAAAAACTATTTCAAAGATAAGCTGGATGGGGGTTCAAATTTGTAAATTTTCTCTTTTTCTACCGAGATTCCGTTTTATTTTTCTCTTTAGTGACTGAAGGTGTGGAATAAAACTAAATAAAAGTTAAATTGAAGGAGGAATTGGTGAGATGATGATGACAGAAGCCCATAGTTTAAATTAATGAAAATTCATTCATTTTGGAGCAAGTTAGATGCTTTCTCTTGCTGCCTGTTCACCTTACTCAGAGCAAAAAGCTGCAATGAAGAAGCTAGACCTTTTGTTTAATCTTAAGGTATCCCACAGCCTCTGCGCATTCTATTCAGTGATGGAGTACGATTCTTTTCTTTATTCAGTAGTAAAGCAATTATAAAGATTCCTAATAATCAACACCTGAAACTTACTTATATAATATAATGTTGTAATGTTACTTCATTTCCGGTAAAAAGGAAATGGTGTAGGCTTGGATATATAGTTACTCACAATTTCCCCCCAAAACAAGAAATCTGAGATGAGACATAGCTGCCATATTAAAAAAGATTCCTGGGAGCTCTTTTAGCACGATGAGTCGTTCCTTAGGCTCATTATCACTGCTACCCCTTAACCTTACCTTTGGGCCTTTGGGACAAAGATTTTTTTTTTTTAAATAAAATGATGTTTTCCCAAACACGATGATGAGCAGTAGGGCTTTCGGGAGGTGCTTCTCTCTATGCGCCCCCACCTCTGTACCCCGTGTTCAACGCACCTCCAAGAGCCTGTGTTTTAGAGCTACCTGGCAGAAGAAAATTAGCGTTTGCAGTAACAAATGTCATGGGGTGAGCTGGTGTGAATGAGGGTAATCAAGTGACCAGAATGCAAAAGGTACATCAGGAAATTGGGGAACAGATAATAGAATCAAATAAACTTTCAGATTTTTCTTTTCTTGTAGAAGTTCATTACAACCCTCCCCCCATTCGCTCAGTTCCTAAGCATAACTACGAATAATGTGCATCCCATTTTTAAAAAGGAATCTGATAATCACATTATCTGCATATTTAAATTATATTTAACATCCTTATCCATTTCCTTAACATGGGTAAAAGATTGCTTTCAACTTTTTGCTATAAGTAATCTCGTAAAGAACGTCTTTGTGCATAAACTTTGGATTGCTTCTTTAGAACAGACACTGTAATTACTAAGTCCGAAGGCAAAAGAATTTGTAGGATTGTACTTCATAGAAGGGCTGTTGAAATCTCTACTCCCACCAGATATTGAGAAACATGCCTTGTAGTTAGGACTCCTTTGATTATGTGAACATCATTCTTGTCAGTCACTTAAATTTCTTTGTTGATTTTTATGGTCATGCCCTTTATATATGGATGTCTTATGATTTTAATTACTGTTTATTGGTCCTTTTAAACACCAAGACTATCTATGTGTGGTAGCTTTTCCTGCAGATATCTCAGCTAACTTACATCTAGCTTATTTTTTAATTTTGTATCTATCTTAATTCTTTAAAAATGTATATCCTAAAATACACTAATAATTCCTACTAACATTTTGAAGTTCTTTTTCAAGGTAAAAAAGATATTAGTCTGTTTTCTTCTACTGCTTTATGGTTTGTATTTTACACACTTGAGCATTATGGTTAAGAACACAGATGACTTATATTTGATTACGGGCTCCTGTAGTTGGTAGCTGACTGGTCTCCATTAACCTCTTTCAACCTCAGCTTCCTCATCTATAAAATGGGGGATAATTACAGCATATCACAAGGTAGTAAGCATTGAATGAACTAACTTCTATTTTTTTTAACATTTTTATTTATTTATGCATACAGAACTGGGATACAGGCTAGAGGTGTAGGGGCGGTGAGAGGATTCACCAGACAGTGGAGAGCAGAACAGGGAGACTGATGAAGTACACTGCTGAGGGGAGCAGCAGGCGGGTCAGGAGAGGTCTGCTGCACCTTGTGCCTCATGCTGAAGTGGTTTTAGCTTCTTTTTTTTTTTTTTAAAGATTTATTTATTTATTCATATAGAACTGGGGTACAGGCCAGAGATGCGGAGGGTGAGAGGATTCACCAGAGACAGAGTGGGGAGCAGAACAGGCAGATTGACGAAGTACACTGCTGAGGGGAGCAGCGGGCGGGTCAGGAGAGGTCTGCCACGCCATGTGGTCACCTCCGGGGCAGGCGGGAATCGAACTCATGCGGAAGTGGCTTTAGCTTCTCAGTGCAGTGCTTTAATCCGCTGCGCCACCAGGGAGGGCCGGTTTTAGCTTCTTAGTGCTGTGCTTTAACCCACTGTGCCACCAAGGAGGGCCCATAACTTCTATTTTTTTAATAGAACCTCATACATACTAATACTCAAGAAATGGTTATTATTGATATACAGCATAAGACTTCAATGTGCTTTTTTCCTTTAGAACTATTTATTGTTGGATCTTTGTCTGCCCCCTTATGCACACCATGATTTCAGCCTACCTTCCACATTCTTGTATTGTAGCATGTGTTTTTGGCTTTACCACTGACCTTTCAGCATATTAGTATTTGTGTACACCTTTGTTTTAAATGCCGCCGCTTTAGAATATCTAAAACTATCATATAGAAAAAGTGTGTGTCTAGGACACATAACTCTTCTTTAAATCATCATGATTATTTCTCTTCCCCACATGAATTTTAGAGTTATATTTTAATAAAAACAGCTAGTTGTATAGCTCAGTGAGAATACATAGTCACATCACTAAATATACAACTTGATAAATGCAGAAAACATTCACACATACTAGTAATATCATAGGCAGAATTTAAAGACTTCTATTTTTAGCCAGCACCACCTTGAATACCAGGAGAACCGACCAGGTGGTCGGGACGTTAGGAGTGGGCAGCTCACTGGGGAATCCAACCCAGATTACAGGTGCCTAGTTTCGAAGAGGATCATAATTAGCATCCTCTTTAATCAAGTGGAAATGACATCACGGCTACCTATGGTGGGCACATATTTCCATGCTCTTAAACTCCGAGAGGATGCACAAAACCTTATGCCGGCCTCAGACTTTCCTAAGGATGGCTGACAGTCCCATTCCCAAGTGGTCAAGCTGATTTGTACCTTGTGTTTCCCTCACAGTGACAGCAAATTTGCCAACAGCATCCCTGTATTTTAAACACAGTGGACGTGTTCTCTTTGCTTTCCTTTTGGCAATCCATTTAGTTTTAATAACACTACTGGACATTGTGTTTAGAGTTTCACTGTTACAATCATAAATTTAGAGTGAGGATACCATTATAATTTTCAAGTACTAATGAAATGAGTGATTTCCTGCTTTAGCAATCACAATTTTGGTCCTAACATTTAACTGTAAATGATAAATACCAGAAAAGTGACAAACACGAAATGTTCTTCGTGAAAGCAGGATTCAAGCTTCTCTGATAGATTGTCAAGAGTGTGAAATAGAAGTGGAAGCCTTTTCTAAATTGCAGGAAACCAATTGGAAAGCACATTGAATAGCATTTGCAGAAGATTACAGTCAATGTAAATGAGACTAGAGAATGTATCAGAGAGTTTCTAACTTCATTCTTTATAAATCCTGTGTAGAAACTAGAAGGTGAAGAAAATGCAATCTAGAAGTCCGTGGCGTTCAGAAGGACTACTTCTTAAAAAACATTTGTTGGGCCCTCCCTGGTGGTGCAGCAGGTTAAAGCACAGCACTGAGAATCTAAAGCCGCTTCCACATGAGTTCAGTTCCCGCCTGCCCCGGAGGTGACCACATGGCGCGGCAGACCTCTCCTGACCCGCCTGCTGCTCCCCTCAGCAGTGTACTTTGTCGATCTGCCTGTTCTGCTCCCCACTCTGTCTCTGGTGAAGCCTCTCACTGCCCCTGAGCCTCTGGCCTGCACCCCAGTTCTGTATGCACAAATAAATAAATCTTTAAAAAAAAAAAAAACATTTGTTGTAGTCTCCATAGTTCTCCAGCACCCTGACTCCCCATGGAACATCCCCATAGACACCCCTGCCCCCATTTGCCCCAAACTCCTGCCACTCCTTGGCTGTGTGCCTCAGCTCTGTGGTCGGCTGCTAGTTCTGACTTTTTCTTGACCTTTTGTTTGGTTTCTCTATATTCCACATATAAGTGAGACCATCTGGTATTTATCTTTTCCCCAGAAGGACTTCTTTAGAAAAGTCTTGACATCCATGTTTAGGGAGAACTCTGGAAAGACTAAGAGACACTTGATGGACCTTTCAGAATTGAATCAAGGTGTACTTCATGATGTCCTTTTAAAATCATGAAACATTCTGGGCATTCATAAAAGCACAGGGAAGAACCAAACCACGTTTTCTGCTTACACCCAGCTCGCCTAATCCAGCCCAATAGCTGCAGCTGAACAGTGTCTTCTTTCAAGCCATGAGGCATCTGCCATTGAGCACACAGGATCTGCATGTTCTAGAATGGCTTTCCGAAGTTCATTTCCCATGATAGGATCCTTCTCCCCTTGCTGCCATCCGGAAGCCCAGTGATTCTAACTGGCAAAACGCCAAAGATGGCGGATTGTTCACCACTATGAAAACAATTCTAAACAGAAGAGCAAGGCTGCCAATATTATAATTCACTTAAACTCAGCAACCGGCCAACGTGTCAACTCTCAAGCCGCCTTGTCATCTCTTTCTCCTTCCTTCTGTTTGTGTGTGTGAGGGGGAAAAAAAAAAAACAACACTTTTCTAAACCGGACAAAAGAGGAAAAGGAAAGAAACACATCACCTGTCGACGCTAAGCGCGCAGAGATTGAGGACGGTGATCCCCACTGAGGACTTCTGCAAAAAGGGGAACAACTTGCAGAGGAACATGCCGAAGTCATTCTGATCGAAAGGCCAGCGTCCCGCCAGCAGCTGCAAAAGGAGACACGGTGGTCAGAGATGGGCGCTGGCACCGGCACCCAGACACGTCTTTCTGCCCCTGAGCTGCGCAACTGTGTTCGTCATGTGCTTTTCACGGTAGCAAGAAATACTGTCATCATCATCATCTCTCTATTTGTATATACAATACTATGTACATTCAGAGCCTCAGCAATTGTTTTATCTGGAAAGATCCGGAGGGTGAGACAAGTAATAGAAGAGACGGA